TTATTCTCTATTTCTAAATTTATCAAATAAATTTCTAAGTTTATTAAATCAATATTTAAGTTAATCAAAGTAAAACGAGAGAAGCAAGAAATTCTTACTTTATTTTATTAAACTAAAAAATGCCATTTTTTACTAATGCAGTCAAAATAAAAATATTAAGATTTTATTTTTAAAATATTCACATATGTATAATAAGTTTAATATGTTTCCTAAACATATTAGATATAGAAATGGTAAAGAGAAAAAAGATTGGAAAAAGAAGAAATGGTGACATCATAAAATTATTTTCTTCAATTATTATGTTTCTTTTAATAATTGGATTGGTAATTTATTAATTGTTACTTAATTATTACACATATATGTGCTTAAATATATTTCGGTCGAAATAACCGATACGCGCCCACTAACGTTGGTCCCGTTCACGCACCCACTCCCGGGTTAATACAAAATAATACTACATAAGTGTTAATATTTATTCTCCGTTTCTTAGTTTAACACGAAAGTGGAATACGTTCGATTTGAACCATCTGAAGATTGTAATTGCGATAGATGGCACGTACGAGTGAAAAATTTAAAAACGAACGAAACGGAAGTCCGGTACTTTGACGCAATTATAATTTGTAATGGGTAAGAAGACGCGTACATATATTTTTGAGTTAAATACTGAAGAGTACCCTTATGAAAATAAGAAGTTTTATAAACGTTTGTTTAGCGTTTACGTAAGTATTTGCAGGAGTTTGTTAAGAGTTTAAAAATTATCAGTAGAACGAAAATTGCAACACTGTAGCGTTTGAAAGGCGTTTGCGTATTGGAAGAGCGTTTGCTGAACAGAGAGAAAACGCTTGTCTTACGGCATTGTGGGAAAAGTGTTTTTAAACGTTTTCAAAGTCTGACAGCAAGCTTTCTGCACGAAGATGTATCAGCGTTTATTGAGCGTACTTTGAAAAACGTTGTTTCAGCATTGCAAAACTTTCACAAAATGTTATATACAGAGTGTCCCAGACTCTCCTTCTCACATTAAGGAATGTAGAACGAGTTGAGTTAAGTGAACATAAAAATCTTATATTGTTTTGCGATATTCGCAATAATCACCGAGAAATTAATTATGAAAAATTAAAAAGAAACGCATGCTGAATGGTTGAGGGAGAAGCGCTTGCGACCTAGTAATATAACAGACAGATATCAGCGCGCGTCTTATATTGCTATGATCCTACGTCTTGACGCACCGCGCCGAAGCGAGATATGGGTGTGCAACGATATAAGTATAAGCAATGGTGCATTGCTTTTCTAATTACCGCCGACATCTGTGCGCTATATTATTAGGCCATAAGTGCTCCTCCCTCAACCATTCAGCGTGCGTTTTTCTTTAACAATTAATTTCTCGGTTATCATTGCGAATATCGCAAAACGGTATAGGACTTATGTTCACCTCAATTCGTTCTACATTCCCACTTAATGTGAGAAAGAGAGTTTGGGACACCTTGTATAGCATTTGATAACTTTTGAAAGCGTTCTAAAAGCGTTCAAAATTCAACGGCGTTGAGTAAGCATTCATACAAAGTTTGAAAGCGTATAAACTCTCAGGAAATTCTCATCAAACGGTTTATAAAGAGTTTTATTTTCGCCAGGGTACTTTATGATTCTGTGATATTGGGCGAACATTTTTCCAATTTTTTCCAGACATTATTTCAATCCTTATGTACCAATTATACCCGGTATCGAGAGTTTTTCAGGTTTAATATTACATAGTCATGCGTACAGAAAGCCAGAAGAGTTTTCTGGGAAAACTGTGTTAGTGTTGGGTGCTGCTTCATCTGGTATCGATATAGGAATCGATTTGTCGGATCATGCAACTCGCGTGTACTTAAGTCACAATAACGATCGGTAAGCGATTAACTAAATCATGCTCATAAACATTGATTGATGTCAACCAGGATTTAATTGATTCTGTAGAAATAGAGTTAGAAAAAATTGTAGAAAATAAAGAACAATGATAAAAAAAGATTATGTTTTGCCTACTGAGACAAACGTGAACACGTTATCATATTTTATTAATTTTTACCAGTTAAATACAATGGTGCTATTAGAGTGGAGTCCCATAGCATGTAATTTTACGTAACAGCATAAGCAATCACATCTTTCTATTCTTTTAGAAGTTCTAACAGAAATACTAAACTGCGCAATTTATTGGTTACACGCTTACGCGATACGCGGAAAGTACATGCCATGGGACTCTATCTTTAGAATTACCCGGAAACACTGGGAATATCTTCCATTGATGTTAAAGTTTATTTCTCCAGATAATCCCTTATATTCCTAGTAAACAATTTGGCAGAAAATTGTCTCTGAATTGATATCAAATTCGTTCAAAACTTGTCAACAAATCCGGTGCCATCTATGTCTACAGTAAGCTTGTGTTTTGTTAGCAAAGCTTACGTACGTAATTTGACACCAAATTGGCGCCAATTAACGAGCAAGACTTGGTAACAAAAGCCTGCTAGCAAGCTTTGCTCGATATTTGGCGTTAATTTGCTACCAAATTATATTTAGCTTTGCTCGGTATTTGACATCAAGTTATGTACGCATACCTTGTTATATATTTGCTAGCAATTTGTCGACACCATTTGATGAAATGTAACTCTGTTGCAAGTTTGTACTGTTTTTGACGTCATAACTTATAGCAAGTATTTGGCATTATTTGTCTAAACAAATTTAGCTATCTGGGTCGTTACAAGTACTGCTGAATCTGTCGATATTATAGGGGAAATTGCTATCTGCAAAACACAAACAACAAGTGCAGGATATTTTCAGTATCAATTAGATGACTGACTTCCGATATTTAAAATAGCGGATCCAATATGATATAGTTTTGAATTTAAGATTGTTCTATTTTGGGGTTCTTTTAAATTTTGATAATGTTTATTATCTTTTATTAGGTTTTAAAGATAAAACTCCTGTTTAGGGAAGGCTGCTCCAATGACTTTGACCTTGACATATGTTATAAAGGTCATCCTCCTGAGTGACCTTTTGAAGGTTTTAGTTGTCGCTCGTTATTCGTTAAAAAATTATTAACAAAAAAAGTTGAATAAATTGAATGTAACTTTTGGACACTGTATATAAAAAAACATCGAATTTGTAGACTAGGAAGGTGTCTACCCCTAGCACACACACACACACACACACACACGCACACGCGCACGTACACGCACACACACACATACACGCCCATACACAATATACACTGCACGTCCGCCCGGGCGGGCTCGCGGTGTGTGCATACGTGTACTATTCGTACATATAGAAAACAACATAAACGCACGCACACATACACACACTGCTTGCCTGCATGCGCGCTCGCCCGCCCGCCTTAGCGGGCTCGCGATGTATGTGTTCCTATTACATGTGGAATTTTATAAATAGATTATAATTTGTCCCACTTTCTGTGCGGACGCTGTCATCCGCACGGACAGAGCACGGCGGGCAGTGTGCACAGTTTTACTCCGCTTACAGCATGACGTAGGCCACGCACACAGCGAGCGACCGAGTCCGTGAGCGGCGGCTCGACAGCGGCGCGCAGGAGGGGATACGCGTATACGGCTGCTTGCCGTGTACGCGCTTCGACCGAGCTATAATATATGTCGGTCGCGTACACTATAGCTATCGTTCGGGGAAGAAAGAGGCAGCAAATGCATGCTCGGAAAAGAGAGAGCAGACGGCCGGCGTGAAACTTATGCTTATGCTGTTTGTCGTTTCTCGCCGTGCGCGCACTTCCTTCTCGCACCTATTAATTATACAAATATTTAAATTACATACAAATGTGTTAAATATTAAACATCAAAATATTAAGAATAATAAAAAGATAAATGCATCCGCTTTTCATAGATCATTAATATAGATTATTAATGATCAGATCCAAGCCGATGTTAATAAATATATC